GGAAGCTGAAACACACGTGACCATCCAATTTATCACGTAATTAATAGGCGGTGGTTACTCAATCACGTAAATACTTGTCACACCTCAATATGTAAATCATTCCCAATTATATAGATCTTTATTTATCGTTATTACAATAGTATTATTATTATACAGAACAGCAGTATTTACAAACAAATGTGTATGTGTTGATTGGGTAGGGAAATAACCAGTTTTTGCAAGTCAAAAAGCGAACGATTTAGTATGTCGGGAGCGGATAGAAGTAAACGTTTTAGTAAGTCGGAATAAATGGTAGAAGTGAACGATTAGTAGGTCAGAAACGGATGAAATAAACAATTCAGTATTAGAGAGAAATGGATAGAAGTAAACGATTTAGTAAGTTAAACGGATAGTTTTTCAGTCAGTTAGTGAATAGAAACAAACATATTAGATGTGTGAATACTCACATGGAATCCTATGCCAAAGTTTCATAAATAAACTGATATGAAGTTATAAAAAGCATCAGTAACAAAGTATACAATAATAACAAAGCAATTAGTTTCTGAACGCTTACTCCAAGTGAGGTCTTGCCAAAAATTAAAACTTCTCGTTTAGTCTCCATCTCCATACTTGAAACCGTTGACATTCAATATGTGAATAAAGAAATAAAGTGAAAGATAAGTATGTAATAAACAAGACATTGCTGGTGCTTTAATACAGTTTTTTGTTTACGCAACACAATCGCTTAATTTCGCATTGAAAACAAAGCCATGTGAATGAGAAAATTTTTTACGCATGCTCCAAATGTTAGTTGGTTGCCAGAAATACAAGTTAACCATCATAAGTATTCTGTGTTCACAGTCTCGAACACCAATTGCATAGACTGTATCACGTTTAACTGCAGTTGCATGAGAATTTTGATGATGCTTGGTCATTAGACTGATCTGAGATCTGATGTATTCTCATTGGTCAATCATGCAAAAAAGTTTTATTTAGTAATGTAATATACCTATCTATACAATTCATGCATAAGTAGTCTTATAGGTTGTAACCTTTATTTTATGAATATTGGATTCGTATCATGGTCCTGTGGGGTTCCTTCATCGACGGCATCTGAGACTGAAATTTGATTGTCCTCATCGACTTCGTTTTCTTCTTCATCGGGAGTATCATAAATGCAATGCATTTTCCAACCAAACATCACTTCATGCGGTGTACATTTGTGGGCTTGATGTACAGTTGAATTGTAAGTAATTGTAAACATATCAATAACGTTTATCCAAGCCTTTCTTTGTAGTTATCCCAGAGCAGCTTAGTGAAACTGTGACCAATAGTCTGATTAAGATGTTCGATCTGGCCTTGGGATTGGGGATGACGAGTTTGATCTTTATGCCAAGATTGCTGCAAACCTGTGTAATGACCTCGGCGACAAATTCCTTGCCGTTATCACTTTGGAGAGCAGCATTAATGCAATGCATCTATGAAATAATAAAGAGTTAATACTATCTTTTCAAATCTTAAATTCAATGTACAGTTCGCTATCTTCATACCGGCAGCTGGTAAGAGAATGCTAGAGTATTACCCTCTTTCTCAAAATGCGATAATGGTTTCACATCATTACGATGTATGGCATTCCATATATTGTTGTCAGACTTATCCTTGATTGCATCTTTAATAAGGTTACTGACACGTGAATTGACTTCCCATAGTTGGACGTTTGTCATCTCAGCAAGTTTCTTATATGCTTCAGGTGCTGAGTCAGACATCATAATCAGTGGTCGTAGTCCACCTGTAATGTCACATACCAAATTTCTATCGAATTCTCTATCTGATTAAATCTGCAAGTGCGAAACACACAAGGTACAATAAATGGTAAAACACCTTGAACAATTGAATTTGACTTGGGGCTGAAACTGCTAATTGAGAGAGTCCAAAGTCACATATGAACGGGACACTTGAATGACATTGCTTCATGTGGTGTTTGTGGGCTTAGTGCATGGTATAAACTTAAATACTACAAACAAAAGACAAAGAGAGAGTATATAATTGATCAAACGTGTACATAACAGATAAAGAAAGAGAGATACAGTGTATAGCTTGGGAAAGTTACCATTAGGAGACATAGATACTGTAAGGTTTGAATTTAGGTGTGGGTATTTGGTCTCTTTCTTGCTAGTGCCAGCTCTAAGAATTGAAATGAAAAAGTGAGACGCATGATTAATAGAGAACGAAAGACTTATACTGTATTACTGTGAGTGAGAAAGAGTATTTGGAATGAAACATACAGCCTTGAGTTCTTAATGTCTGCTGTAATACTTCAGTCAATTTTTTGCATTTGAACAGCAACGCAAATTTTTTTGACCATTGAATATGTCTTGGACATCCGAAAGAACAGTGGTAATAGTTAGCAGCAGCGAATATGATGTTAATGAAAGGGTACCGTTGTCATATTATTGCCATGTGTGACAAACATTACACATACATTTCATCAACTCAGTTAATAAAGTTCTACAATGAGTAATTTTGATTTGTTGTCAGAAATCCAAGTGTAATCATACTTGCATAACTGCACATAAATATGCAGATAACAGATTATCATATCATATAACAGTGCATAAATTACTTCTGACTATTAGCTCATTAATACGATATAGACAAGAAAATTTTATTACAATAAAAATATTACAATATGAAATAAATTTACGATGAATGTTCTTTCTCAGGCACCACCTTGATACGTTCAATGGAAGTTGGAATGTCTTTACCATTTACTTCTACAATGGCAGTGCGATTATTGGATGTCAGTCTCTTAAATTTACCGGATTGAGAGAACGTCAGCTGCAATTTTCTCTTGCGAGTTTTTGGATTCATATCATGATCTGGCGCAACAATTACAGGAGTTCCAGCTTCAATCGTGTTGTTCACTGTCTTTTTCCTGTGAACGCTGCCCTGTCTACATAATTTCGAGTGGTATTTGTCCAGAGTATCGTTCACTGATTGCTGGACGTGTTGCAGCCATGACATGCGATGCTCAATCACATTTTCATCGATGGCATCTGAGACTGATATTTGATTGTCCTCAACGGCATCTGAGACTGACATTTGATTGTCCTCATCGACTTCGATTG